TGTAGATTAATGTTTTGTCTACATAGATTGTTATTTGAATTTTCTTTTTAAAGGTTCATTTCCTTCAGAATTAAAGTTGCCTCTAAACTCAACTCACAAATTCCTCTCTGGCAGCTTTTGGTTTGGGTTCACTCCTAGGGCAGACGTGATTTATTTTCCTGTGCTTGTTATTAACCCAGAAATGCAATTTTAGCTTGGGCTTGGAATAGTGCTTTGGGACACTAAGCAGAAGTGAACAGTGGAAGTTAGGTGGACATGAGTCAAATAAAACCAACCACATTTTCTCTCAGCTCTCCTTTTATAACTGATGAGCCCAAAGAGTTGGTTAAGGTTCCCTTTACTGTCAGTTGCTCCAATTTCAGTAAAATTTTTTTGGCATGAATCAGCAAGTACATACTGCCAGAGGTGGTGCATTAGCTCCTGTGTCTGGGAATGGAGTCTTTTCATGGCAGTATTTTGATTTTGAACATTTCAGTCTAGCCTCTAGTTGGTGACAAGCTGTTCTCTAGGATGAGGCTTTTGTTACAATCACTTTTCTGTCTTTTAAATACTATAGGAAAGGAGGCTTTTGGTTGAGAGTGGACACTATGTATATCTGGGGCTGCAAAAGTATTCTCATTTGTATTCTGCATGGGGGAATGGGAAAATGCATCTCCCATTTCAGTCTCTCTGCTGTGAACTTGATTGTGAGGACTTGATATAAAAGCCTGTTTTCTGGAATTCTGCTTCACCCAGTTTAAGTTTGCTATCACTTGGGCAGACTGCCAGAGTGCTAACCTAAAACACCCTCATCCTAAAGGTCTCAGAGTTGATGAGTGGTCATGTTGGTGTGAACAGGGGTGGGTGGTTAGGATAGCCCCCCCACAAAATATAGGAGGTGAGACTGAGGCATCTTTTGTGCTCTTGTGGTCCATGACTCAATGTCTGACTTTGGCTGTATTTCAGGCAAAATCTAGTTTCATTCCATAGCTTTTCAAGCCCCTGTAGAATTGTTGTAAGGTAGCTTCAATGACATATTTACTGAATAACTCACTATTATATCCAATATACTATGCTGGATGCTATAAGAGACACAAAGAAGAAATAAATCAGTTATCTTTTTTTAATTTAATTTAATTTTTTTAAAAGATTTTTTATTTATTCATTTGTCGGAGAGAGAGAGCACAAGCAGAGGGAGAAGCAGGCTCCCTGCTGAGCAAGGAGCCCGATGCGGGACTCGATCCCAGGACCCCGGGATCATGACCTGAGCCGAAGGCAGACGCTTAACCAACTGAGCCACCCAGGCGTCCCTTAAATTTTATTTTATTATGTTATGTTAGTCACCATACAATACATCATTAGTTTTTAATGTAGTGATCCACGCTTCATTGTTTTCATATAACACCCAGTGTTCCATGCAGTACGTGCCCTCTTTAATACCCATCACAGGGCTAACTCATCCCCCCACCCTCTCCCCTCTAGAACCCTCAGTGTGTTTCTCACAGTCCATAGTCTCTCCTGGTTCGTCTCCCCCTCCGATTTCCCCCCTTCATTTTTCCCTTCCTTCTCCTAATGTCCTCCATGCTGTTCCTTATGTTCCACAAATAAGTGAAACCATATGATAATTGACTTTCTCTGCTTGACTTATTTCACTTAGCATAACCTCCTCCAGTCCCATCCATGTTGCTGTAAAAGTTGGGTATTCATCCTTTCTGATGGCTGAGTAATATTCCATTGTATATATGGACCACATCTTCTTTATCCATTCATCTGTTGAAGGGCATCTCGGCTCTTTCCACAGTTTGGCTATTGCAGACATTGCTGCTATGAACACTGGGGTGCATATGGCCCTTCTTTTCACTACATCTGTGTCTTTGGGGTAAATACCCAGGAGTGCAATTGCTGGGTCATAGGGTAGCTCTATTTTTAATTTTTTGAGGTACCTCCACACTGTTTTCCAAAGTGGCTGTATCAATTTGCATTCCCACCAACAGTGTAAGAGGGTTCCCCTTTCTCCACAACCTCTCCAACATTTGTTGTTTCTTGCCTTGTCAATTTTTGCCATTCTAACTGGTGTGAGGTGGTATCTCAATGTGATTTTGATTTGAATTTCCCTGATGGCTAATGATGATGAACATTTTTTCATGTGTCTGTTAGCCATTTGTATGTCTTCTTTTGAGAAGTGTCTGTTCATGTCTTCTGCCTATTTTTTGACTTAATTATATGTTTTTTGGGTGTTGAGTTTGAGAAGTTCTTTATAGATCTTGGCTACCAGCCCTTTATCTGTAGTGTCATTTGCAAATATCTTCTCCCAGTCTGTGGGTTGCCTCTTTGTTTTGTTGACTGTTTCCTTTGCTGTTCTTATCTTTTAAGGATGGTCAAATTCACTAGGAAAAAAGAAGGAAGTCTACATATAACCACAGTAGGAGGTAGAAACTATAAATGAATATGAGTTTGAAAGAAGACATGGTTAGAAATTGGGGGCCATCTAAGTACTTGGTTGGATGAAGGGGGAAATAGAGCAGAGTTTGCTTCTGTTTTGAATCTGTGTAATGAGAGAATATGGGTTCTATTGACAGAGATAGAGAAATGGGCTAGAGATGCTGGTGAGTTTGAGGTGAGTTTTCCAAGAGAAAAGCACTTAACAGTAAGACCCAGGAGGTCAGATTAGAAGTAGGGGCTCTAGACTCAGATTTTGAGGCTTGTTTTTGGTTGCCCTGGGAATGTATCAGGTCTGTAAGGGAAAGTGCGTAGTGAGAGTTTGGACCTAAATTGTTGAGAAGTGTCCATACTTCAGAAAATGGAAGAGGAAAGGGATCCAAAGAAGGAAGGTGAGAGAAAAGGATGTATGTGAGTTGGGAAGCTCTGCTGTGACAGCATCCCTGAGCCAGGGGCTGCATTTTAAGACTGTGACCTTGCCTAAACTCTTCATGTCTCTCTGGTCCCATCTGTGCTCTTTTACCACTGTACCTGGTTTATATGCCTACCTCACCTGGGAGGCTCTCGGCCTCTGGAGGATCGGGGTGGTGTGACTGATTTTGGCATTCTTGAGACCAATATTAACAAATAGTAGTTATTGAATGGATGATAAACAAAAGACTGAAATAAGAATGATAACTGCAAAGAGTTAATCAAAATTTTTGAGGTCATTGGAAATCTTTTTTTTTTTTTTTAAGATTTTATTTATTTATTTGACAGAGAGAGACACAGCGAGAGAGGGAACACAAGCAGGGGGGAGAGGGAGAGGGAGAAGCAGGCTTCCCACAGAACAGTCCAATGCGGGGCTCGATCCCAGGACTCTGGGATCATGACCTGAGCCGAAGGCAGACGCTTAATGACTGAGCCACCCAGGCGCCCCGGAAATCTTCTAAAATGTAGTTTCAATATCAAGGAGAGAAGAATGCCAAATTGCAAAGGGTTAAATTAGAAAAAAAGTGGGTGTTGAGGAAGGAGGAAGGGGAGGAGTGGGTATAGATCACTTATTCAAGATTTTGTACAGCTAAAAGAGGGAGAAATGCAGGGCAGTAGCTACAGGGGACAGAAACTTCATGTGACTGAACTAGACTGAGTTAGTTAGGGCAGCTAGAAGAGGGTTGGTTAATGAACTGGGTTATTTAGGAGGGCTTGACTCTTTACAAGTGTTAGTGGGGGATAATTAGGTGAAATGTTTGTTGGGAATGGGGAAAGAGGGATATGGGAAGTTATAGTCAGAGTTGAAGTATCAAATTTGAGATCTTGTGGTTGGAACAATGAGTGTCTCATAATGAGATCCAAAATGTGAGTGTGCTTGTGATATGGAGCGGATGTGGAAGCTGTTGAGCTGAGAAAAGTAAAGAACTCTTGGCCTGGATGACCTTATTAGTCCTCAGCCCAGATATTAATTTCATGGGAGATGGGAAAGGAAAGAGTGAAAAGATCCTAAGTCATGTGTTTAAGTCTTTCAAGGAGGTGGAAATTGGTCCATGAGGACAACAGATAGAGGTGAGATGATTTAAATTATAGTATTTAGTATTTAGTGTTTTTTTTTAAAGGTATACATGTTTAGAAAAATTTGGATTTGAATCCATCTCTATTTTTTAGTGTCAAAAGTGAAACTGCATATACCAATTGCTTCTTCTTTAAGACGAGGAATAAGCATACTTTGGGTTCTCTTATATCTTCTTTTCACTCTCCAGATTTTGTTTATATGATCTGGGATTTAAAAATTCATACCATAGTATTGCTATAAGAATTTTAAAATTTTATGCATTTTCTTTTAAAAATATTTTTGATATTTACATTGCTTTATAATTCAATTTATAATATTTTGGACTTTATTCTATATGTAACTTGTTTTGTGTTAACTACTAGTACATTTATGTCACAGCCTTTTCACTCTGGATTCTTTATTTTGATTTATTTTTTCAGTCAGATGAGTACATCTTGGAGTAATTTTTTTTTTCCCGGAAAAGTTACATGTTGGTATATCTTTAGAGCTCTCAGATATTTGAAAAATATCTTTTGATTTAGTTGCCTTCATACACAAATGGCATCTTGTCTAGATATTGAATTCTTGAGTCACAGTCAATCTTACCAAGTTCCTAGACATTGTTCTTTTGTGTCTTGTGAGCATTATGGGGAAGTCCGATATCAGACAAGTAAGGCTCTCTCCCCTCTCCCTTCTCTTCCCTTTCTTTAAAGTAAAATCTTTAACCAGTATTGGTATAGGTATATCCCTATTATTTTTTTTCCTAGCACTTTTGAGCCCTTTGGATCTGCAGGCTTAGATCTATTCTCATCTCAGAAAAGATTATTCTTTTCATTTTTTTTTCATTTGTTTTTGTGTCTTCAGGAACATCTATAAAGGTCTTCATTCTTTCCCATAGCTGAGATCTTGTCTCTTGATATTTTAATTTCCTCTGCATTTTATGAGAGCTTCTTAAGCTTTTCCTTTATAACACTGACTTATTTTTCTTCATTGTCAATTCTCTCCTTTGTGGCTTCTGATTATGATTTTTATTTGAATTGCATTTTTTATATTCTTATCATATTTACTCATTGCATCTAGGTCCTCTGTAATTCTGCTTTGTTCTCAGCCTGTCCTTCATCAGAGTCTGACATCTTGTATTATTTTTCATTTCTTTTTAAAACCTACATTTTCTACATTTCTTGAGAATACAGAGCCAATTCTTTCTATTCTGGGAGGGAACTTTTTTCACAGGTATGCTCTTCATCTACATCTTAAGGGGTACCTTCCCCATCTTTCATATTGCAGAATGTTTTAATAGGTCCCGTGTTTGTTTGTTTATTTGTTTTCCATTTTACTCATTCTGCTCATAGTAACTGCTTGCCTGTAAATACTGTCAGTTGATTCTTTTTGGAGCGCTGCAGTGAGGTGAGGGGCCACAGTGAGGTGAGGGGCTCTTTATGTAAACTGGTTTAACAGCCCAGCAACCCAAGAAGGCGGCGAGAGAACCAGAGTGTGGGCCTCCTAGCAGGGGGACTGAAGCTTGGCACTGTTTTCTTCTTCTTGTGTGGAGAAGCCTTTGTGCCAGGGGTCAGCTTTCTGAACATCCAGCATTGGCACAGCATCCATTGCTCTCCATACAGTGGCTGAGTCTGGATGCTCTTTGGTGCTGCTGCATCCGGAATTTGCCCCAGATGCACCGCAGACTCTCTCGTTGCTATAGCGGCCACAGGCACCCTGGGACTCCTCAGGGCTTTAAATTGCTATTGACCTGGAGGGGTGAGGTGGAGTTCAGCCCATCCTCCTCACAGCAGCAAGTGGGCTTTCTGAGACACAAATGGGATCGTGTTCTTTCTTTGCTTAAAATGCTTCAGTGGGTCCTCCTTGTCTTTGGATAGAGTTCCAACGCTCTGTATATAACTCCCTCTCCTGCCATATCTCCCCTGATCCGTGCCTTAGAAGTGAACCACACTGATTTTTTTTCATTGACTCAAATGAGGCATGCTTTCTCTTCTATTCAAACTGATACACATACACTTACTTCTGCCTGAAATACTCCCCACTCTTCCTTCTTCCTGTACACGTTTCCACACATATACACACTCACATACAACCCAGTTAACATGTAAAGTCATTTTCTCTCTCTCTGTTAATGGTAATTTAAAGTTTATTCAGCTATACTGCAAGTTATTCTGACTTTAAGGTAGCATCACATGGCATACTTCTGAGTTTATTCTCAAGATATTCTGTTGTACTTATCTCTGTTTTATAGATCTATAAAGTCTCTGGCACTAGGAGGTCATCTGGGTTTGGATCACATAGCAGTGAACAAATGGATAAGAGAACTTTAGAAATAGTTAAAGCAGGAGACCACTGTGATCTTCAAATGCCGAGACAAATGCTGCCATTACTGTTAATATTTGGATGATAAATTCTTGTTATAAATGCAACCTTAGGTGGTTTGAAGGGGTAAGTTTGTTGGAAAATAAAATGTAAAAAAAAAAATTACACTGCCTTGACATGGGCTCTCATTAGGTCTCATAATTGTGGCTTGCCAAAGAAACATACCATCCCCAACTGGACCTGCAGAATATAGTTCTCTGCTCTCCTACTTTATGCTCCCAAGGCAACCTGTATCCATTAGAACACTTATCACTCTCTGTTACAATTGTGTGGTTGTAAAACCCCTATTTACAGGGTAGAAGCCACAGCTGTTTTCTTTACCATTATAATTTCAGTGTATATAGGTCAGTGCCTGGCACATGGTATGTACATATTTGTTGAATGAATGAATGAATGAATGAGAACATTAAAATTTTCAGTTGTTGCTGGCCCAACCTCATCCTTTGAAATTCAGGGGTGTTACGGGTTCTGTCAGAGTCTTTTCCCTACTCCCTGAAATACGTTAGTATCTTTCTTCAGTGTAGACCAGGTCTGTACTACATCTATGAAACTGGGCTAATTGTATGAGAAGATTACATTTGACAACAATATAAGCACTTACCACAGGGTCTGGTACCTAGAATTTGCTTAATAAATATATTTTTACTATTTGAAGTTAGTAGCAGCATTAGGGAATAAAGAAAACATTGATTCTTTGCCTACTTACCTTCATGCAAATGGAGGCAATTAGAAGAGGAGGAGAGGACTCTACTGAAGAGGGCTAACTAGGGTGTAGTCTTTTGGGAAGTCTTTTTGGGAAATCTTAGGTTTCATTCAAAGAGGGAAGGTACCCGCCATAGTGTAGAATTACCCTTGAGACATAGTTAGAGTCAAAAGGCAAGGTGAATTGGGTGTGGCATAAATGGGATGGAGTTCAGCGAGTAAGGAAGGGGATAGAATGAGAAGTTTGGGTATTGACTGGTGGATGTCAATAAGGGGAAAATGGAAACTTTGGGAATATGAATAGAATAGAGACACCCTAAAGGTGTGAGGAAGAGGAGTTGAAAGATGATTATTATTTTGGGGTTAGAATGACCTAAGTAAGAGGAGACAGGTACGGATAAACTTTTGTTTAACAAATATTTTTGAATACTTCTCAAGAAATGTTATTAGCTGGGCACCATGTTAAGTGCTGGGGATTCACCGATGAAGTAAATAGCTACCACCCATTTCTTTTCTTTTCTTTTCTTTTTTTTTAAGATTTTATTTATTTGACAGAGAGACAGTGAGAGAGGGAACACAAGCAGGGGGAATGGGAGAGGGAGAAGCAGGCCTCCCGTGGAGCAGGGAGCCAGATGCGGGGCTCGATCCCAGGACCCTGGGATCATGACCTGAGCTGAAGGCAGACGCTTAATGACTGAGCCACCCAGGCGCCGCTAGCTACCACCCATTTCTTCATGGAATTTACAGTCTGGTGAGGAATACAGACATACATCATATACTCATCTGTAAAATTTTGGACTGTAATAAATGCCTTCAGGAAAAGTAGAGGCTATTGGGACAGCATATTAACAGGCAGAATTAATTGGGTTGGGGGTAGGCCTATAATGTCTCTTTGAGAAGGTGACATTTCAGCTGTGGTTAGTGAGTAAGAATTAGTTAGGGAAGGGTGGAGATAAGAGTGTTCCAAACACAAGGAACAGCATGTGCAAAGACCCTGAATTGGGGGGGAAATGTTATGATCATTTTGAGAAATGAAAAAAGCCGGAGTGGCTAGAACTAGTAGTGCTTCCAAAGGAAAGACTAGAGAGATTGACAGAAAACATGGATAGGATTTAGAATTTCATCCTAAGTATAATGAAGTTATCAAACCCTTTGTCATCAAAAGGTTTGACCAGGCAAATGGCACAATCCACTGTATATATTGAGATCATTCTGGTGATTCTTTAGGAAATATATTGGTCAGGATACAGGGAAACCAGGCTTTTGAAGAGTCATAGAAAAGCTGATGGTGTCTAGGATTGGGGGGGCACATTCATTGAGATTCTTGCATTTATCCATACGTTTATCCCCTACTCCTGCATCGTCCTCTTAGCCACTCGCATGCCCGCCAGTCCTTTTATACACGTTTGTGTGCTTGCATATTAGTTGCCCACATTTCCTCGTCAGGCAGATCCTGTGGACTCCAGTGTTCATACAGACCGTTTCGAACAGTCTAGACCCAGGAGGAGCAGGATAGTCAAGCTTGTGCTCTGTTCTTTCGCGTCAGCAGCGGAATAGAACATCTGTGTGTAGGGAAGGCGTGGTGGGCAGGGCTTATAACAGTGCTCTGCTATAATATGGAGAGATGGAACTCCACACTCAGGAGCTTGGGTGACTGCTGGCTGGAAGGAGATACTGGAGCCTGAATTCTCCTGATTTAACCATAGAAGAGGAGGTAGCAGGGTCAGGGCAAGGGCCAGCCAGGCTCATTTTTTATATGTTCCTCATGTGCCGATTGTTGTTGCAATGAGAGTTGACCCTTAACAGGGCCATTGATGTGATAAAAGTTTTTCCCACACACTTCACAGTTGAGAGATGACTAGGAAGGGTAAGGGCTTTGTCCTAAAGTGCTAAGGCTCAGTGATCATTTCTTTGCTTTGCTTTTTTTTTCCCCTCCTCTCACTTCCCAGTTACTTGTAACTCCAAGTCAGATTGATGGTTTGTTTGTGGTACCTTGAGAGAGCCATAATGAGCTGTTTGTATCCCAGTGTGTTTCAACTCATAAATGATGTCTGTTTAGTGGTCCACGGCTCACTGGGCTAGAGCTTGTTGCTAATGAAGCCTAGGTCATGGTTTCCATTTCAGTACAGTTCTCTTGGGTTCACTCTGTTATATTTACTGCCAGAGGCTATGCCCGTAATCTTATGCATTCACCCTTTGGTTTTTTAAGACCATAGGATGAGGCAGTAAGAAAAGATCAACATGAAAGTGACCTACTCCTGCGAAACTAATACAGCATACTCATTTTTCCGACGGTGGGTTATTAGTGTTGTCTTCACTAGTAGCACTACTGAGCATCTTGCTCTTCCCCTGTTTTTCAACCTGCTCTGTCTCTCAACAGCCAGGTCAGAGTCCCCTTCCTTATTTAGAAGACTAACTTGATCTGCTATGACCTCACACCCTCAACATCCTTTTCAGCACTTAACGATTTCCATTTTTGTCTATTTCTAACATTCTTCCAGCTAGCTGTGCAAATGTGGACAAGTCACTGCACCTCTCTGGTCCCAGTTTCCTCATCTGTAAAATGAGCATGTTAGATTAAATCTAAGGTCTACAGTCTATGTAACCACTGATGCCAACTACCTAGTAAAGTGTCTGATATGTAAACTGAGGTCAATGGCAGACATGCCTCCTATCCTCAAGAAGCTTGTAGTCTAATAGGGGCAGGGACTATACATAATAAATAAGTAAATATAAAAATATAAAAATAGATAAACATAAAAGTACAACTTTTGATGTTGGCAGGATGGATTGAATGGAATAGATACAATGGGGAGAAAATTGGGGAGATGTGAATTTGAAGATCTAGTTAAGTTATAGGAGAAGTCAAAGGATGAGAAGTTACTAGCCATATAAATAAGAAGGGGAAGAATATTTGAGGCAGAGACAGTAGGATATGCAGAGGTTCTGAGGTAAGTAAGAACTTCATGTTTAAGGAACCAACAGTAAGCCACTGTGTCTGGAGGAAAATATATGAAGATATGGATTTGAGGTGTATTTAAGAGGCAGAAGTGATCAGCCAGAAAATTATCAGGAGCTGTGGGTGCCTCCAGGTATTTAAGGTATCAACCAAGGACTTGGTAGTGTGACACTTCATACCAAATTAGCCCAGGCTCATGGTGGCATTAGAGAAAGTAGTTGCCAAAAACAAGTTATTTCTTTTCTCCTTTGCTGATAGGAAATGGGAAGGGCCTACTAGCCCACTGCCTTAGTCTCAACATTAAATGGCATAGCCTGCAATCTCTAACAGGTGGAAATTACTAAGAGGGATAATTGATGCCCTTAAAAACTTGCCTAACTGAGCTTTGTGCAACATATTTTGGGAATTGACCAGCAAAGTTTGTGTGTTGACACAGATGATATCCATGCTAAGACTTGTTTGGGTGGAAAATTTAGTAGCTTGGTAGGGCATGGATAGAACACAGCTCTTCCTTTTTACCAGACATGTTTATATGCTAGGTAGCTCATAACTTCGTTCTTTTTCCTTCTCTCCCTACCAACAGAGAGCCATTTGCTTTTAGTCCCTCCTATATTCTACTGGCAGACTAATCTTCAAATGCAGTTTTTATCATGTCTTCCCCCATCCGTGAGCCTGTGATAACTCCCTTGTACTTGTTGTATCACGTTCAGAATTCATACTAGAATTCAAAGCCTTAAATGATCTCCCACCTCTTCTCCTTTTAAGCCCCAGCCAGAGAATATCCTTCAGTCATTTTGATGTCTTCAAGACCTAGCCCTACCACCCTCAATGAGCCTTCTCCCTCCAGCCCAGATTTATGCTTTCTTGTCGTGGAGTGGTGGGAACAGCCCATTGATCTAAGACAATGCACCCAACCCCTCCAGATGATCACCATAAACTCTATTTCAATATTTAGTGATCTTCTGCCTTTATTCATTTGTACCAAGGGTGTTCTTTAATTGTTGCATACTTCTTTGCTTTCTCAGTGTGCTTTCAGACCCTGGGAGCAGGAACCTAGTCTGCAGATCTTGTTGATCAAGACCAAGGCTTGGAAACTTAATGCTGCAGTGAGAAGGGCAGTAGATTTGGAGTCAGACTGATCTGGGTTTGAATGGCATTGATCTCACTAGTTTATGACCTTGGGAGGGCTACTTTACCTTTCCAACCCTTATGCTTCTTATTCTTAGGCTTCTGCATTGATTTCCTTTTGTGCCAAGAAGTGGTGGCATGAAGCAAGTGCAGTATCTTAGCAGACATTCCACTGGGAACTTTGGAGCGAACACTTGTAGTGGCCACCCAGGTTACCATTTTCCTCATTCTGGTTGATAGAATTGGAATGAAGAGAAAAAAAATTCTGGCAGAAATGAGCCTGGGAAGGAATATTTTTCTGGAGAAATGTGCCTGAATCTTAGAGAAAAATGATCCATTTTGTAGAAAATAACTTATGAGCCAGTGTACTTTTGGCTCTCTAGATTTGATTTCTCTAACAAACAGTATCTAACAGATACACAGATGTCAGGTGTTCTAATCTTCAACAACAATTTTCATTCAAAAAATAGTGAACTGTACCTACAGGTACATTTGATTTTTGGATAGTAATTTTGAGTCCTAAGTTTTTCCAGTAATCTGATCATGTGAGTAATGATTTTAATCCTCCCCTTCTTCATCCTCTCTACTTCCTTAGGCCTTCATGGATTTCGGAAACTGAGGCACACAAAGATGGTTTTGTTATCAGACTCACATCTCAAGTCTTTGTTAAGAGTTTTATTTTTTTTTTTAATTTTTAAGATGTTATTTACTTCTTTATCAGAGAGAGAGAGTGCACACAAGCAGGGGAAGCAGAAGGCAGAGGGAGAAGCAGGCTCCCTGCTAATCAAGGAGTCCGATAC